TCCACGTGTGACCGCGCAAATTTAAATCCAGCCTCCCTGTACCCGCGGATAACACCTATGGCCCGGCAAAATTTTGGGCGGATAAATTATTATCTCGGAAACCACGGGAGCTAGAAGGCTGAAATTTTTTGGACATGTCCTCAGCCACATGCGACCCAGAAAATTTAAATTCAGCCTTCTTTTGCCTGCAGGTAACATGAAGGGCTCCGTGAAAATTTTGGCGGGTAAATTATTATCTCGAGAACCACAGAATCTATGAAGCTGAAATTTTACAGTAGTGACTCCCTGCTCACGTATGACTTCGCAAATTCAAATTCAACGCTCCCACGCTCTCAGGTGTCACCTACGGCCAAGTAAAATTTTTAGCGGGGAAATTATTACCTCGGGCAAAGCCAGAAAGCTGAAACTTTACGGTAATGTTTTCTGTTCACATACAATCCTGTTAAATTCAGCCTTTCCGTACGTCCGAGGATCAGTTACGGCCTCGTGAAAGTTTCGGTGGGGAAAATTATTATCTCGGGGAAGGGTGATCTCCTTTACCAACACACGACCTCGAAAATTTGGATTCAGCCTTCACACACCCCTGGCTACTACCTACGACCTCGTGAAAGTTTTAATAGAGGAATTATCTCGCATGCGTAGAATTTCTAGTGGGAAATTCCGCTGCTTAATAACCATTTCAACTATTTTGCACAGACTAAAGTGCAAAGCAGTGAAAACCATTAGCAGACAATCGTTCGATGAACGGAACTGCACAAAACGCATGATCGCATCGGCTGCCCCAGTGCGCGCTGCTATCTATTTTGTAGAGCTTTATTCCCTCTTTCTCTCTGCACCTATTTCCAGTTTTTGCCTCGATCTATTGATTTGTATCCTCGTTCCCCTTTTTTGCTCTGTCCCCTAATCCTGCCTTCGAAGCAACACCTGTGTTCCTCTCCATCTCCATTATAAAAGCAGTTTGGAAGGAAGCAATATTCCCCTCCTTTCCCTACCTCGGTTGTCCGCGGCAAAAACCGGGAGCCATCTTCTCCTCCTCCCCACCCACTACTCCTCCGCTCTCCTCCCCCTCACGTAGCATAGCCAACCGTCAGAGGGTCTACACCACGTAGCCCTGCAGTCCGTCCAGCCTCAAAAACCTTACCTCGCACAGCGCGTCTGGAACCCGCCCACACTCCACCCTATCTGCGACACCCAACGTCCTTTGTGAGGCCATCCGCTGTGAGCCGAAAAAATTTTTCGCATCTCATCGTCATCATGCATGGCGCCGGCCGAGCCGTGCTGAGTGGTGACCATTGCCAAGCGTATGTTTCTTGCTTGCAGCATCGGTGGTCGGTCGGTTGTTCCT